GTTAAGATCTGAGATTAGCGATTGAAAGGAAGGGGCTGTGGTGGTATTCCAGAGTCGGGTTATGTTTAGTTTTGCTGCAAAAAGAATGCGAACCATGATGGTACGAGAGGTATATGGGAATTTGTTAATCCCGATGTGTAGAAGTGCAAGTGCCGGATTGGGGTTTATCATTATTTTGGAGATTTTGGCTATTAGTTGGAATACGCTATTCCAAAAGGATTTAATAGATTTGCAAGACCAAAGTATGTGAAGAGTGGAACTTACGTCCCCGCATTGTCTCCAACAAGAGGGGGAGTGTTTTGGATAGAAAATGGCAAGTCTGGCATGGGTTAGGTACCATTGATGAAGTATTATCAAATAAGATTCCCAATGTGAGCTGCAGTGAGAGGATTTGTAAGTGTAGTTAAATGCGGTAGTCCATGAGTGGGTAGGGATGGTTTCCGCTAGGGTTTTTTCCCAGTTGTATAAAGAGGTAGACTTTAAGGTAAATTGTAGGTCTGTTAAATATTTGTAGAAGGTGGAAATGCCTTTCCTTGGGTAATGCGGTTTGGAGAAATAAGTGTAGGCTGTAGCCGGGATTGTTATGGTTTGGGGTATGTTGTACATTCGGATGCAGTGGATGATTCATAGGTAGGTGAAATATTCAGCGGCCGGGAGTCTAAATTTGGTGTGAAGATATTGAAATGAGTGTAGGATGTTATTTTTGTAGAGATCTGATATGTGATGTATGTTTCGTTTTTCCCACTGGGTTAAATCTAATGAGGGCGTAATGGAGTGTAGTATGTTGAGTGGGGTATGGAGTTGTTTGGAGTCTACGTAATCTGTGGATAAAAGATCTTTCCAAGCTGAAGAGTGGCTTGGATGCATGGGTGTTTTAAGTGATATGTCCTTTGTGAGAATATTGTGGTTAAGAGTAGATGTTGTGATTTATACTATATGTTTTTTTTAAAGCCGAAAGTAAAAAATATTGTTTTTTCTTCAAACTTTTTGGTCTTTTTTTTTTATAGCGCAAAAAATAAAAAGCACACAGGTGATCAAATACCACCAAAAGAAAGCTCTATTTGTGTGAAACAAAGGAACGTAAATTTTGTTTGGGTACAGCATTGTATGACCGCACAATTATCAGTTGAATTAGTGCAGTAGCAAAAAGAGACCTGGTCATTAAGGGGGGGGGGGGTAAATCCTCTAGAGGGCAAGTGGTTAAATTGGCCAGTAAGGATATCCCTCATATTGAATGGCTATTTGGATTGTGGCATTGGGAGACTGGCAGATTTTAACACTAACCGGAGGTGTCAGAGCTTTGCTTGTCAGTAAGGGCTGACATTTCATTGTGTCAGAAATGATTGACAGGTGCATGAATGTCATACCTAAAGCAGTTTCACGCCCTTTCCATCTATCTCTTTAATGAAAACTTATCTATGGTTTCTATACTAAAGCTACAAAAAAAGACAAAGCCCTTAGGACTTATTCACACTTCATGAATGAACATGCTTTTTGCTTCAATATGGTGCAGTCAATATGCATGGACAAGCAAAATGTATTGTTTTGAATAGGATCTGCTTACTAAAGTTCCAAGTTGATTGTTATATTTTGAGTGTGTTGCCAAGAATTTTGATGTTCAAGGCAATGTATTTCTTTTAAATACACAAAGCAGCAAAACACTGCTAAAATTACAGTTATCCCACCCTCCATCCAATACTATCCAATCCCCCAGCTCCCGCTCTTCTCCAAGACGCTTACTTACTTGAGTAGGACAACAGCAGCTTGCTTCAATGTTTTTTCATCCTCTGGTGAAATCTTCCTCACTGAAACATGAAAATGCCTTAGTAGTTAGTTTTTTCTGAGTGTCTCCACTCTTGGGAGGCAGCTCATCAAACAGCCCCTGTGCCAACGTAGCATGTAATGAAGGATGGAGGATGTAAACATCAAAGCAGGCTGTGGCTGTCATAAGTAAGTGGCTTGGTGTTGGTGATGAGGTTGTATAGTATTCAAAGGAAAAAAAACAACTCTTTGAAATGTTCGCACTGTACAGAGATTTAATTTGGAATGATATACAAATATTAATTGTCTGTATTTATTGCTAAGAACATAAAACTCTAAAGAAACCATAGTTTTTTATGTTTTCTAGGTAAGGTTTTCATTTTCAGTTTGGATTGCTTGATTTTTAATTCTAGACTATTCTTACAGGTACTTATATAGTGCCGTTAATTTACACAGAGCTGAACACATATTTTACATTCAGATCAGTCCCTAACCCTCAAGGAGTGTACAATCTAAGGTCTCTAACTCACATTCATACAGACACGTACTAGGACCCAATTTAGACAGGAGCCAATTGACCTACCAGCATGTCTTTGGACTGTGGGAGGAAACCAGAGTACCCAGCGGAAACCCATGTAGGTACAGGGAGAACATGCAAACTCTAGGCAGGTAGTGCCATGGTTGGGATTTGAACTGAAGATCCCACTGCTGCTGGGCAGAAGTGCTAACCACGTAACCACTGACTAGGGCAGTCTTAAGGGATTCATGATCATTTCGAACAATGCTCCTTTTCTGGGATGTTTGTTTTCAACCTAGTCCTGAAAATTCTACGTAGTGTAGGTACTTGTTTAGAAGTGCTATACTTTGGAGCAAAAGAGGGTGGTGATTCATAACTTAGGGCACTAATGTAATGCTACATAAAAATAAGTTACATTACTATTTAATGTTAGTGCCTCCTTCTAATTTTAGGATAAATGCACTTTTAGTAGAATAGGAAAGGGTTAAAGCTCTTGATTTTTTTTAATCATCTCTTTCTCTGTGCCTGTTAGCGAGATTTCCATGCACTTCCTTGGTGGTTACTGTTGCATAACCAGACTTCATGTGTCTAAACTAAAGTTGGCCATAGGCAAGCAGATTTCTTCCTGTGATAGGGGTTGTAGAATGAGATATCTCAAATGCTGAAGCAGGACTTGGAACATTCCTTTTTTCGATAGACAGAACCACTCATACCCCCATAGATATTCATAATTACCCAGATCTTTGCTTGAGCATTACATTACAATACATAATTTAGGCAGGACTGTGCCTATTATGGACACTCTGGAGGTAGTCATAGATGGGTAGATCTCAATTGAGAATGCTGTCTTTGCATTAATCATGCAGTGATACAATGTTCTGTAAACTATGACTTACATTGCAATCTTGTACACACATGGTGAAAAGGTTGTTACTTTAACAAAGGTGAAAAGTGAAAGATTATCGAACAGATTTTCTGAAACAATAAAACAGCCAAATCTTTATAAGTTATGCTCACGTCTCGCATATTTCTTGCAATTACCAAAGCCCCATATGGCCACTCTAAGTTAATATTTCATCAAAGTTATTACTGAGAACATTTACTATTGATAGCTATAACTGAGCTTTATGGGGCTATTGTGAATTCATATCCTCTTTCAAAATGAGTCCTTGAAAATTTCAGTTTTTAGGTCTGACATTTGCAGGTTTTAATTGAAAGTACTGCACGTATATGTCCGTTTCTGCTCCTGAAGTTATGCGTTTCATATTCCTGGGGCATACATGCATTGCCTGCACCTTCAGCCCATACTAGGCAATGATGCATGTTACGATAGTCCCTGAAAATATAATATAATAAATTGATTTGTTAGATAATTACATTACTTTCAGGATAATTTGACACTTCCAAAAAGTGTCATACATACTTATTTAGTAAAATAGTGCAATAACGTTTTCGAAACATTTCATTTAATTGAAAGTATGACTGGAAATTTGTTTGTTTGAAGTCATATACACTGACAGTACTTTTCTGAATGCTTAACTACATTTTCCAGCTAGAACTGCTATCTAATCATAGGCAACATATGTAAAATCTCTATGCAGCTAAATGGACCTAAAGCCTGTGGTACCTTCTACCATAAACGATCATACCAGCAATAAAATACTTATACTTATTTGTTGCCCAGAGTAGTCTTATTTCAGATTTGACTGTGTAGGTAATTTCCTGATATTACTGACTTCCCTGGCTGAGAGGGAACCTCCCTTGGCCACAGCAGAGAGACTGTAATTGCTGATACTACTTTTTATTGTTGTTTTCCTTTGTGAGGGATAAGGTAAGTAAAAGTGCTTTTTAATGTTCCTCTGAACAAAAATGAGCATTTCACTCTTGCAGTGAAGGCTAGTCTTTTAGTTTCTCAGGAATTCTGATTTAGATACTGATTCAGAATACTTTATGAATCTCAAAGGGAAATTGCAAAATCCAAAAGAAATTTAAATATACCATTAAAAGTGCAAAAACAAAAATCTGTTGATCTTCCCTGAAAACTTGCTAGCTATCTGTGTTCTTTGCCCCTACAGACCATTTACATTATTCCCAGCTATTTTTGAACAGATAGTTAACCCTTACTCTGAGGATAGATTTATGTTATTGAAAAAGAGGAGAAGAGGAGATTATAACATGGTGGCATCACTGCTTTTCCATAGACACTATTCAGTGAGTGAGCTTTGTCACCCTAGAACAGAAAGTGTGTTATTAGCAGGATTAGGAAAAGAAAATGGAAAGAAAGGTAAGATTAATGCAGCCACAACATCTGATGCCCCCAAGAAACATAGCCTGAGAAGAGCACCTCTCAAACTGTGTTGCATGTCTATAGCTTACATGTTTTGAAGAACCTACTCTCTTTGTCAGAGCCTATAACATCATAGAGACCTCTCCTCAATATAGCCTGAGAAGAGCAACCAACATCCAATCAGCATTAACAAACAGCAGCACAAAACATTCTCTCTCTCTCTCTCTCTCAAAATTCCTAAAAAGCTTGACTCATTCACTTGACATCAACACTAAGCTACCATGCCTAATGACAATTACCGTATTTTTCGCCGTATAAGACGCACTTTTTCTTCCCCAAAACTGGGGGGAAATGTCTGTGCGTCTTATAAGGCGAATATGGAGTGGCCGGTCCGGTATTTCCACCGCGGCCGTGTCAGAATACCGGGCCGGCCGCTCAGCTCTGCAGCGGGACCTTACCTGTTCCTCTATCCAGCGGCATGCTGTCTTCCCGGCTTCTGTAGTGTGGGCACTGAGCATGACAGCCGGGTGCCCAGTGCGCATGCGCGAGAAGCGGTGCGCTTTGTGAATGGTAAGGCGGTACCTGGGACACATGACAGATCCCAGAAGCCGCCGGACCAATCACAAAGTGCAAGTGCTTCTCGCTCATGCGCACTGGGCACCCGGCTGTCATGCCGAGCGCCATTACAGAAGCCGGGAAGACAGCGCGCGGCTGGATCGAGGAACAGGTAAGATCAAACAAAAACTCTGCGGAAGTAAGAGCGGGTACCTGTCAAATTCAGGTACCCGCTCCCCACTTCCCCAAAGGTCAGCAGTCATCTGTACTGTCCGCAGTCTCTGGTCATCCCTGTGCTGTCCGCAGACTCTGGTCATCCCTGTGCTGTCCGCAGTCTCTGGTCATCCCTGTGCTGTCCGCAGTCTCTGGTCATCCCTGTGCTGTCCGCAGTCTCTGGTCATCCCTGTGCTGTCCGCAGTCTCTGGTCATCCCTGTGCTGTCCGCAGTCTCTGGTCATCCCTGTGCTGTCCGCAGTCTCTGGTCATCCCTGTGCTGTCCGCAGTCTCTGGTCATCCCTGTGCTGTCCGCAGTCTCTGGTCATCCCTGTGCTGTCCGCAGTCTCTGGTCATCCCTGTGCTGTCCGCAGTCTCTGGTCATCTCCTGTACTGTGTCTGCAGTCCATTAGTTCAGAATTTTTTTTTCCTGTTTTCTGCCTCTAAAACCTAGGTGCGTCTTATGGTCAGGTGCGTCTTATACGGCGAAAAATACGGTAGTATGCTTCTTTTCTATTGTAAAGAAAAACACACCCTTCTGTTAGCAAAGGTGTAAAGGTGTTCTCAAACTACCAGGATACACACAAACGGTTGCCATCAGAAATGGGAATGCATGCCACAGTGTGTAATTTAACCATCACTGTTATTAAGTGAAACTTGACCAGCTAACACACTTTGTAATCCTGCCTTCATTCTCCATCTACACCTGTATAGAAACATTTGGATGTCACCTCCTCATTTTATAGGATCATGATATATTAGGAAACATATTACAAGTATACTGGAAGTCAAAGTGGAATTACTGTACATGTACAGAAAATTCCACTTTGACGTCCAGTATACTTGTAATATATTTCCATCAAATACAATGTAACCTTCAGGTCATTTTGCTGTGCTTGTTAATTTTAGGATGTATGGAAGCATCATTTTCCTCCCAATATTGGTGTGTTTCTGTTCACACCTAACAAAGAAGTTCTAAGCTGGTTAAAAAGAAAAATTAAACCAGTTGTACTTACCTGAGAAAACAGTGACTTCCTGTTGAACAGCTTCCTAAACACCTTCCCACATCAATTTCCTAGAAGATTGAAAAACAAATTAAAACAAAGAATACTTCCTTATCCCTATTCACATTCCGAAAAGTTGAACAAAAGGCAGAAACAGTAGAAACTAGTTTGCATGTCAATGAGTGTGAATAGCAAGATTTAAACATCAAGCTGTGGCTTTGTCTCTTTGTATAGCAATTAACCAGCCTTTGTATTCAATGTGTTAATGAAAAGTCCTTTAAAGTGAATATTAAAAACGTTTAATAAAAACTATTGAAAAAGAAATTTAATTAATTGTCAATTGCCTGCATTTATACCATGTACCTCTTATGCATATTTTATTTTAATATACAGCTTGTTATACTTTTGGTGTTGTGCATTTATAAATACATTGTGTTGTGCATTTATAAATACACCAATGTGCTAATTTGCTCTCTACATAAAGTTAATGTATTATTATCCTAGACGGCTTTATAAAGAATTTAAAGTTTATCTGTACTTTTTTAGTTTTACATAGAGGAATTTTTGTCTTTCTTCCAAGTACAGAAATTGCCTTTACTTACAGAGACATCAAAAATTGAATGAAAATCTTTTAAAAGTGAGAGAAACTCCTCTTAGTTGTCAGCAAAATAGGTGTCTCCCTTGAAAGATTCCTCCTGATCTCCTATGTCAGCTACAAGTGTAAAGTACTAAATTTCACATGATTCAATGTCCCAGTGAAAACGATCATCAGGGCAAACAGAAAAGGCAAATCTCCTCAGTGGATACACAGATAACAATACAATTATTGCAGAAGTTCTAACTCTCCCTAATCTATCCAAAGCTACAAAAAGTATTTAGCCAGAGGTACACTTTAATGTGAATAGCACAGATAGTGCATCATAACACATTAAGGACTGTTTATAAAAATGGAATTAAGAACTGAACTAAGACATCAGTTTTTGTGTTTGCAATTTTCAGTAAAATATGCACACGATTTTCTTCAAATTTCTTAAAACAAATGCTAATTTAGGAGAAACATAATTTGAAAACACCAAATTGTACTTTGAGATTAATGCAATATAGTAAAAAATGGAAGATTGAAACTGATGTGTTGTTAAAACTACCTAATTAAAAGTGGTGAACCTGTTTTAAAGGATGGCCTCATGCACCCTGAAAACCCACCTCTTCAGGGAGCCTACCCCACCCCCTGCTAACTTGCCGACCTCCTCCACTCTTCCTACCACTCCATCCCCCACAGCTTTCTCCTCCTGTGCCACCATCCCCTCCCTCCTAGATTGTAAGCTCGAAAGAGCAGGGCCCTCTATCCCCTCATGTTTTGCATTGTATTGTATTGTTATTGTTCTGTCCCCCATTGTAATGTACAGCGCTGAGCGAACTATTGGCTCTTTATAAATACTGTATAATAATAATAATAATTCAAAAGTGGTGAACTGATGAGTAGCAGAACGTTTAGAACTTATAAATGCTGCTTAACAGAAAGTGTAAATCTTTTGCAAAAACTGGAGACAAAGAGAGATATACTTTTCAATTGTTGAAAAGAAAGTGGAGAATTGAATAAATAAACTCAGAATGATGCAGCAGCACACTTTTACATGTTAACAGCCCTCTTACAAACTGCTGGCAAAATTAGAACTTCACAATTTTCATAAATGGAAGATCGATATATGAATTTTTATAGTACAGTCATTTAATAATTTGGGGTGGACCTCCACAAAGTATGCCAAGAATGCTGGAAACTGCATTGTATTAGCTTCAAGAATAATGAACTCAGAAAATTGCAAATTAGTCTATTTGCATACAAAACAAAAGTGGCCAATGTGTAGTTCTGCAAAGAAAGTGGTGAAGTAAATAAATAAAAAAGAGTCAATACAGTTTGAACCTTTAGTTTTCTAGGTAATAGTGGAGTTGGCAAGAGTTACAAAATGACACTGCAGACCATTAACCAAATAAACACTTTCAAAATGGCATGTTATCACTTTTAAATCTTACCTTTAGCAATTCTTCAACAACACCTTTGTGGTTTTGAACAATCTCATAGTAGTATTCCATATAGGATACTCTGTAACAATTCTCTTTCATATCACAGGTTTCCACTGTCTGAACAACTTCTGCTCCATTTGGATTTTCAATAACTGTTGTGCCAAATTTGGTTGGAGCACACCAAAATCCTGTAAAATATTAAATCATGAAACATTTATTTAATATGATTGCCATGGAAGCAAAAACATAACATTTTCCACTAGTTACATATTTAAGTTCACTGCATACTTGCTTTGTGCTATATGAAATATTGGGGTGATATGTAGATATAGCAGCTGAGTTAAATGTCTAATGAATGTGTATACATTACAAATGAATATAATATACATATATACATTAATAGAGTATATATATATATATGCTATGTTTTGCTTATCTACAGTGCAAATTAGTGTTCATGAATAAACATAATATTACCTATTGGGGGAGATTTTCTAAAACTAGAGCACTCAGAATCTGGTGCAGCTGTGCATGGTATTCAATCAGCTTCTAACTTTAGATTGTTCAGTTAAGCTTTGACAGTAAAAGCTGGAAGCTGATTGGTTTCTATGCAGAGCTGCACCAGGTTTTGCACTCTCCAGTTTTAATAAATAACTCCAATAGTATTCAAATACCAAACAGGAGTAAGCAAAATGAACCAAGAATCAGGCAAACCCAGCAAATTCAACAAATAAAATCTTTCTTTGTGAATCCACATTCTCCTTTCCCCTGGGCGTGTGTTTTTCACATTTTCGTTTTATAAAAAAGATTACTATTTACTGTTTTTAATTTACCTGTAGAAACATCAGGAGTGGAACATTTGCCAACATCAATTGTAGACTCAAAGGGGGTGTCTGGGAAGAAGGTCTTCAGAAATGGCATTCGGATACACTCCTGTGGAATGGGAGTGCATTGACAATCCTCAATGACTGCAATTTCTTGAATTCCCTGGAACAGAAGGACCCTTTCTATAGTGACTTTTGTAGGTTGGCAGCTGGACTGACTTGGACATGAAGGCTCTGAACCAGATGGAGAAGGTATATCTGGAACCCTCTCTCGCAACTGCAAAAAAAAAAAAAAAAAACTGTTAAAGAAGGTGTAATTTCTCACGTGTTTAAATGAAAAGACACAACTTGTTAAGACCTTTAAAAGATGCATGATCATTAGGCTGGCCATACCTGATACAATTTTCTTGTGCTATTTCTGTACAATCTTCGTTAAATTTACCCTCAGCTATGTAGTGCAAGGGCCTGCCTGATTGGATACATATTGAAAGTGTTGTTTAGATTTGATCTCATATTACATGATTTTTGGTAAATCTAAAGGAAAACTGTACAAGAAAATTGTATAATGTATGGCTGGCTTTACATTTTGCAAATGAAACCAGTGTGTTTAAGACAACATGTCATATATTTTAACACAGTAATGCCCATAGGCAATAAGTCTACTACCAAACTTCGTGCTGCAGCATGTGTGCACTGGAATGGTGCTCTTTCCAGAAGCTTGAATTTAAGAGATTTTACAGTGAACAATTCAAAGTTGATCTCTAATTGGCCAATGTTCATGTAGCAAAGCAGTATGATAAAAATTCTTGTTGAGCTCCATCAGTTTAGTTTAGTTTAACTA